GGCTCTGTTTTTGTCATTTTATTCTTCTTTCTTTAAAAATTTACCATTCAGCAACTCTTAGCTTTGGCTAATTCTATTTAGTGTCCCAGAAAGTGTAAAATATTTGTCTGCCTTTAGCTAAAACTCAGGCATGAAATGTTTCAGACAAAATGTTTTCCTTTTAAGGAATACTAAGTTATTAACTTACAATAAATCTCTACTCCTTTCACTTAAACAAATGCTCCTTTGGTATGTTTTAGAGTTGGAGACATGTGAGATCAGAACATCAGGGTAAATAATAAAAAAATGCCTGTAGAAATATTTATTTTCACCAAATAAAGTGTTGAAAACATGTAAACCTTTTATCTTCTACATGCAGTGTAAGTAAATGACATCGTTGCACCACTAAAATCTGCATTTACAAAAATCTGTTGCTTTTTTTTCCTCGTGTCTAAAATTGCAGGAAGGACCTATCAAAAAAGCTTTAAAAAATAAAAGACGCAGCACCAAAAAGCAGAGAATGGAACATTCAGCTGAAGCGTCAAACGTTGCGTTGCCATGGAAATGTTATCTTGTTAGGTGGTGACACAATTTAGAAATACGTACTTGGTTAAGAAATATTATGTAAGACCCCTCTCTCGCGTCTCTCTGTCCTCTCTCCCTGTCAGAAAGCATTGGAGCTCAGATCAGTGTTGATGTTGCAAAGTAGAGCCGGGCAGTGAATTCAAATGACAAACACATAATATAAGCATGGAGGTGGTCTCCGAGTGTGCTTGTTCTAATAATCTGTCCTCGTCTCCCGGCCCATTTCCACTGCAGGAGCTAAAGCCCATCCATCAACCTACGGGGCAAAACGTCTCTCCTCCAGACTCCATTTGGTTCACTGAATCCTCACTGAGGGAGACACAAAGAGATAAAAAAGATGAAGGGATGTGGGGATGGAGGAGGAGGAGGAGTGGGCTTTGACAAAAAAGAGAAGTGAGGACGCTTGTTGAGCGAGGCCGAGGAGGCGGAGTGGGAAGATAGGTGAAACGCAGAGAGAGAGCGAGCGAGAGAGAGCGAGAGAGAGCGAGAGCGAGAGCGAGAGCGAGAGCGAGAGCGAGAGCGAGAGCGAGAGCGAGAGCGAGAGAGAGAGAGAGAGAGAGAGAGAGAGGGAGAGAGAGAGGAGGAGGAGGAAATAGATGGATAAAAGTGAGAACAGAACAACCAGGCAGAGTTCAGTCTTCTCTGGTTTCCTTGACTAAGAATAGCAGCTCTTTTGGAAGTTTGTTTGCTCCGGGACACGACCATTTGAATAAAAGCTTCTATCACTTCTCATAATGCTCATCTGTGTGTGTGTGTGTGTGTGTGTGTGTGTGTGTGTGTGTGTGTGTGTGTGTGTGTGAGCTCCACTGTATCTGCAGTTGCATGTGATGGCATGCGTCTGCATGTGGGAGAGATTTTTAAAGATAGATTTGGATGGAAATTCATAAGAATAATAAAAGGGGGAGGAGAGTAACAGGGAGCAGGCTAATTGATGCTGATGATAATAGGCTGATGGGAGAAGACAACTGATGTTTTATTTCAGCGAGCAAATGACTGTGTTGAGCCACCAACCCTCCCTCAAACTGCACTCTGCCTGCTTTTAGCGAGGTGTGTGAAACTTTAATCTGGATTCATAGGAACAGGAAAAACACAACAAACACGGGATCTATTAGCTTCAAAAATAAGTTGAGGATTAAATCGTTTCAGTAAAGCTGACTGAGTTTTGTCTCCCTTTTGTGTTGGTTAGCTGTGGCCTCCATCTTGATTTGTATTGTTTCAAATACTAAATAAACTTATTGAGACTTTCAATAAATTTATCATGAACTATTTTCATCAATGTGTCAGTTATAAAATGTTTATTCGCTTTGTTCTTCTAGCACTACTTCCTGATTGTGTTTGGTCACGATGGACAAAAACCTCTGGAGCTGCGGACAGATGAGGAGAGCGAGTGTGACGAATGGGTGGAGGCCATCCAGCAGGCGAGGTACGAACAGCACAGCCCATCAAGGCAGTGCTTCTCAATTCCGGTCCTTGTGACCCCACTATCTTGTATGTTTTAGTTGTTTCCCTGCTTTGGCAAACATGATTTAAATGAATTAGTGATTAACAGGCTTCTGCAGGACTTAAAGACATGCTGAAGAGCAGGGAAACAGCTAGAACATGCAGGATAGTGGGTCATGAGGACCGGAACTGAGAACCACTACATCAAAGGAACATTTCTGTGGGACTGRGACATAATCATTTTATTCAGGCTGAAACTGTGCTTTCTGTTGTCCCAATGCATCTCAGTGATCCAGGTAGAAAAATAATAATAATAAAATAAAAGTTTAGTTTAGGATGGTTTCTTATTYAATGAAAAGTTTCGTCTCTCCTCAGAGACTTCTTCAGTCTGAGGAGTTTCTGTGCTTTCTGTTCCTCGGCACAAAAAAGGAACCATTTTACTGGATCAAGCAGCAGGATATCAGTTTAATCTAACATGACAGTGTGTGTTGTTGGCCTAATTAATAATCATGTTTAATTTAATGCAAAGCTGGTTTTATAAGGAGACATGATTTAGGACTCAGTTATAACAAAAGAATAACAGTAACCAACTTTAGTATTATTATATAGAATAAAGTATTGATACTTTCTAGGCAAGTAACTTACCAGGTAATTTATGGTATTGGTTACAAGGTACTGGTTTGCACCAGCTAAGTATTAGATACATACCTGGTATGAACATGGTAAGTCGACTATAAGTACCCTGTAACAAGTATACTTTCCTGGTATTTAAGTCCTACCTACTAGATAAGTACCAGGTACAAACCTGGTAATTACAGAGGAACAAGTCATTTTATAAGGAAGTCCAGTCCTCACAGGTACCAAATACATACCAGGTACGTACATGTAAGTACCCTACAGGTACCAGGTGCATACCCTGTAAGTACACAAGTAGTAACCTGTAGGTACTGAGCTGTAGTATGTATTACTACCCGTTTTATTTTCTTCATACAGTGTTTTATTGTGAGCTGCTGTCATGTATAGGAATGATTATTTTGTAAATGTGATCAATTTGATCAAAAAATACACTGAAAATTTGTATATTTTTTTGGTTTTTGTTTATTTTTTATTATTTTATATAGTATTTTTTAATGAAATGAATAAATTATTGAATTGAATTAAATTGAATTGAATTGAAAAAATATATTTTTGTATATGTGTTTGTTAAATAGTTTGAATAAAAAAATGGTTGTGTTATTTTTTTTAGAAAAGTTTGAAATTAGGGCTGTTTTTGTTTAAAAGTTCCTGTTTTTTCCTTTCAGCTACTCTGACCTCATTATTGAACGAGAAGTGCTGATGCAAAAATACATCCACCTTGTGCAAATCGTGGAGACGGAGAAGGTGGCAGCCAACCAGCTGCGCACTCAGCTGGAGGACCAGGACACCGAGATCGAGAGGCTGAAGTCAGAGGTAGATCAGATTTACAATGACATTCCTCAAGATTTTCATCATCTCACAGTCACTTCGGTTTATTTTCTGTCAAAAAATTTGAAGCCATGAGGTTTTCCCACTTTTGCAAAACAATGCACCGTGATTTATTATTAAACAGAAGCTTGAGCATTTCATAAAATGCACAGGACAACAGCTGACACGTGTCTGTCTGGTTTAGTGCTTTTCATTAAAACCACTCCTTCAACCTGCAGTTTGTTGGGCAGTTTAATGCAGGAGAGAGTGTGTTCCTCTTATTGCATGTCCTCCCCTTCAGGTATCGTTCCTGCTGCTAGACATTCATTCACAAATCATCTCCAGCGAAATAATTGGAACGATGTTATCACAAAGAGTTCGTCATTATAACGGAGCATTACTAATCCAAATAAAATGGAATTCTTTAATATTATAATTTAAAATGGCAATAAAGAAAAATACTGACATCACTTCATCCTTCGCTTACCTTCAGAATAGGACAAAACAAAAATTTATGTATGTTGTTTTAGGAGCACAAACAAGTGATTTTTTTTGGGCTCCTAAACTCAACATGCAGCTGACGTATTGTCCATGGACCAGAGGCCAAAATGTCACTATTTGCTCCATCTCAGGGTGGTGAAACTTCATCATAATGATTTGAAAAGCTCCATGTCAGATGATGTTTTGGTATTTTGGCCCTTCCAAAGTGGTAGTCATATTATATTATAGTCATATTTATTTGGGTATTATGTGCACATATTAAGTTCAAGATATGTTTAAAACTTTGTGGATATTCTGTCCACTCATAATAAAAATAAAAGACTCAGCATAACACAATCTGTACCATTTATAAAAAAAAAAATGATCTAGATAGTTTTCAATAAAAAGAAACTCATTCCAGAGATTTTTAAATKCTGAAATCTAACCTGTTTTATTTTCTCTCTTTTTTATGGGGATTAGGAATATATTGTTATTTACTCCCCAGCCTGCCCACACAGACCTGTGATCATGTTCCTGCCACAAAACACACAGAGTCCTAGAAGAAGAATGTTCAAACACACATGTCTGTGTGCACACCTCTATAGATGTATATGTGTTTATTTCTACACCTCTGGGTGTGGGAGGAGAAGCCGTTCGATAAAGACCATTCATCAGCCTGCTCACCAACGTCCAACACAAACCGTTTGTGCTGCATGATAAATTACACATTCTTGCTCAGATATGAAACTCACACAAATCAAACTACTACTCTCTGGTTCCTCACGCTGACACACAGCGCAGGTTATCACATCACACTAATCTGTTAGGTTTAGACAGGAACAGATCCAGGGCGCAGGCAGGCTCAAAAATATAACAAAAATTTATTTATAAATAACTAAAGGAGGGCTGCTGGCAGCAAACTTACAAGTATGGRGAGTCACARGCACGAGGGGAACAGAGCACGAGGAACACATGGAACMATYAACAATGAHCCGACACCAGACTGAGACAGGACAGGGTTTAAATACACAGCAAACTAATCAGGGAACAGAAAACACCTGGAGAGAAACACAAGGGTAATCAGCAGAGTGATGAGGGGCAGCTGGGCAAGGACACACTGGGGAACATAGAAAACACTAGGAAAACTAAGAAAATAAACACAGATCATGACATAATCAGGTTAACAAAACTAATTATTTTGACATAAACAACAAGTGATCCTGTTGGACTTTGAAAAGCTGTTTTAAATAGAAGATTTAACTTTATTCTCTTCAAATGTATTTGTTTTTGTACAATGTAATTACTGTATTATCACTTCAGAATTTTTTTTATTCATATTAAATATATTTAAAGTAAACTTTGGAACAAAACTACAACAAATTGGTGACATTAGTCTTTATTAAAGCTGTTGTAAAGGTCTTAGACTATAAATAAAAGCAAAAGAAAAGTATGTATCCAGCTGCAGTAAAAGGCAACAAAAAAAAAAGACATGTTTAAGGGCAAAATTACTGAGCTTTGTACGCATTAGGCAAGTCGAGCATGTGGAGACAACCCTATTAAAGGCAGCAGCTGCAAAGCATCTCTCCTGTGGTTCAGTGTTGGTTTAGAGATTTGCTGAACTGAGAAAGCTCGATGGAACAAAGTCGTGTTAAAATAAGAAAATAAAAAGGGCTGCACACAGGTAAAAATCTTAAAATCATACAGAAAAGTAAGGAAGAATGACTAAATTTGAGGAAACATGCTTCTATTGCTGCTGAAACTGTGGAGAACGAGAAACAAGATGGCGCCAAGCTGATAGAGACAAACACAAAAAACAAAAGAGTATTTTTGTGACACTGTAAAACTGCAACATTTAAATAAAAAAATAAAAAGACAAGAAACCAGAAAACAGAAAACAAGCACCATAAAACACCATGTATAAAGGTGTGATGCTCTTTAAAGGCTGATTTAATCACATCTTCAGTGTGAACGGTGCAAACGACCAGAGACAAACTGCTCCACAGACTGGAAAGCTTAGATCATATTTTTGTTTTTATTCTCACTAAATAATGAGCAGAAACTTGCTGGCTGGAGGCAGATCTCCTACGGGGGTTTGGAGGTAGACACGATATTTTAAATCAAACTGGGCTAATAAGTTTAAAACTCAGCGAGAAAGCTATTAAATGTTACAATTTAGAGGTGGAAGAGGAGCAGAAATCAAAGTTATGGGTTCATTCTCTTTTATAGCAGTTTAAAGATGAGCTGTTCTGTAGAAAGTGTTACTTTTAAATTGCTTCAGGGTTGAGTTTTGTAGCTGTAAATGAGGTTTATCAGAAAACATCACTACTATTTATAATTTTGTTTTTGTTTGAAATCATTCAAGTAGTTTAAACATTTTTACAAATAGTTTCTGGAGGAAACATAGTAATGAACTGGAATTTTAGTAAAAAATGCCTTCAATGCTAGAATTTTAAAGAAAAAGTTTGCAGTCTTTTGGTAGATGTTAAGGCTCTCAGCTACCACACCAAAATGCAGATCAGCATTTGTAAAATTAACTAAATTGTAGCCATTTTACAGTCACTAAAACTGACTCTAAAAGTTAATTTGCTGTCAATGTATGTAATGTTATTAATTTTCAAAAGTTTCAAAAATAATCTATGCTTTGACTGGTGAAATATTTTGCTAACAGACAAATTCCCAGCTGTTCTGAACAATCAGGCAACATGTGACATACCATGTGATCTTTTACTGTAATAAAAATATTCTG